ATACACGACCACCGATACTGAAAGCGGACTCTGATGCCACTGACGTTATTGGGATACTGAGAAGATCCAATGCTAGCGCAGCTAAATTACCATGGCGATGCCCATTTTCTTTCCAGTAGCTCAAAACTTCTATATCTGCAAAAGCTTTTAACCCAAGCCTTGGCTCTTCCAAATACAATTCCAATCTCGTCTTTGTGTTATTTGGACCATGTTGAATACTCATTTCAAGTTCAAAGAGATCCTATATTGTTGAAACAAAAGATAGTAATAAGAAAAGAATGCAAATATAACCAACATAAAAGAACTCAAGCAGAAAAGAAGTAAATTAAGTAATCTTACATAGTTTAAATCATCTCCAAGAGGTGATTCATTAAGAAGTTCATCTGGAGTTGGTGTTGCTGAACTAGAAGATGAACTTGTCCACGGTTTGCTCGTATATTCTTTGTACAGCTCCTTCAAATTCTTCTCTATAACTTCAATTTTTTTCTCATAAGTAGTTGGATCTAGCTTATCAAAAGCTTTTTTAATTATCTGAATCTTGAACCTCGGATCCAATACAGCTGCCATCGCTAAAATGATACTATACTCAGTCTAGTACTTTGCAAATTTTACTTGCATTCTCTTAGCCATCAACCTCATATCTTCATCATCACAATTAACATATTTTTGTAATAGCAACTCTATATTCCAGACCTGAATGAAGTATATATTCGCAGTTGGATACTTCACACCTGAAAAATATGTTGTGATTGTGCTAAAAGGCTTTAGGAAGTCACAAATTTTCTGCCCACGTTCCCATTCTTGCTCTGAAGGCAATGTCTTATAACCTCTATCACACACCTTGAAACTAGCAAACGCCTCACAGAATTTAAGAGCCCTTGCAAGCATATCATGTGTGGAGTTCCAACGAGTAGACACATCTAAAGACAGTCCCGAGCTATCAGTAATCTGTAAACTCTCTACACAAGCAGCAAAAATATATTTCCTTGATTGAGAGGCTTTCACATACCTCACACTCTCGCGGATATTCTCCAATAGACTATTAGCTAGTTCTAATCCTTCCTTCAGTATGAGATTTAAAATATGGGCACAACATCTCACGTGTAAGAACTTTCCATCACATGGCAATCGATTTCCACTAACCATGAAGCCGATGTGTAAGAATCTTTTGCATAATAGTATTACTAGTAGCGTTATCGAGTGTGAAGGAGAAAACTTTCTTCTCTAAGCCCCACTCCTTCAAGCAACCCAACATCTTTTTAGTTATTTCATCACCGGTGTGAGGAGGTTTGATTTCACAAAACGCCAAGATCTTGTTGTTTAAGGTCCAACCATCGTCAATGTAGTGAGCAGTCAAACAAATGTACCCCATCACCGTGCGAGCTGTCTAAAGATCGGTTGTAAAACAAACTCGACTTTTGAGATTTGCAAAAAGTCTTTTGAGCTTTGCTTTCTCCATCTCATATTTTCTAAAGACATCGGCAGCAGCGGTTTGTCAGCATATATGCACACACTCTGGGTTCAGATATCTATCTCTTGCCCTGACCTTCTCATACTCACACATACCGAAAAGGAAAATCATGATATATAATAAGCTCACTAGTCATTTTGCGATCTACTTTCTGATCATACTTCCTTTCAGCATTTCCATCACTTTCAGGCTTCAATGGACATATTTCTAAATGTCGTTTCAAAGATGATGTTTCATTCCTAACTTCTATTACTAACTCCTTACTACAATAGATGCAACGACCTCTGTTCTTTCCATCTATCCCTACACCTACGACTATATATTCCTTCCAAACATCAGCCTTTAAGCGTTTGTTAGATTGAAATACCGTTTGTGTTGGACCAACGGTTGGTTGAGTCACTGGAGTTTCACTGTGGGCTCCTTGAACTTCAGCTTCACTCGCCTCTATGTCCTCTAGGACCTCATCCATGGGCTCATTTTCAAGTTATGCAAGTACTCTCACTGACTGGGAATCCATCTACATATACATAGAAAAGTTGAAGTATAAGAAGAAACAAACAAAAAACTACATAAGAATCCACTATTTCAGACAACAACAACTACTCAAAGACAAAAACACCTCAAACATAAGAAAATAGTAACTAGTAAGTAACATGAATAATCAATCATACATTATTATTATAAGCTTATAGTCTTCGTGTAATTTTCAGAGTGAGACTGGTGCGAGAGGATATATCTTCCCTACTTTGCAACATCAATATACATTAAAAAAAAAAAACTAGCAGTAACAAACAATATTAAGTAAATTCAGCAAGCAACAACTACCAAGATGAGACGAGACAAATATTAATTTCACTTCCTTTCAAACAAACAATCCTCTCAAAGATAAAAGAGCAGTTAACTATGTTTCCTGAAGTAGCAGCAAAACCAAGCAGAGATTATTGCCTATGGTAAAACTGAAGTTGATCTAATCATGTTCAAAAACTACCAAAACAGAGAGAGAACCTAACGACCAACGAAGCCCACAACAGAATAAACAACAAGTATTAAACTTCAAATAACAACAGGAAAATATGAAATTTTAGTCAGTTTTTTTTGTTCTTTCTCCACATAAAAAAATGACTTCAAATAATTACCCACAAAATATATGAATCCAACTGAATAAAAATGACTTCAAATAATTACCAAAATCAAACAGATTCAAATCGCATGAAGCCATATTCTAAATCAAATCCACAGATTCAAACAAAAACTACATAAGAGAGCTACTCAAAGACTTATAATAAAAGCAAACAAATGATAAGAAGCTTGAGTTTGAGAGGAAACCTGATGATGGGTTTGCTGCAGAGATCCGTTCTCAAAACCCTGAGACAAGCAGAAAAATCAGAATCAAAACAAGAGAGAGATCGAGAGAGAGAGAGAGAGAGAGAGAGAGAGAGAGAGAGAGAGAGAGAGAGAGAGAGAGAGAGAGAGAGAGAGAG